CTGCGGCCCAAAGTTAAAAACTTTTGTTCTTTTGAGGCCCTCAAGGTGGCGCTCGCGGCCCATAGGTTAAGAATCTCTGTTTTAGACAATTTGTGCCGAATTTATGAAAATTTTGTTATTGTTATTTTGCTCATATTGGTTATATATTCGATCTAATTGTTAGTATTACAATATTTATAGGTTCAAAAGAGGCTTCCAGTAGACTTTTTTTATTCCATAGTCAGCTTCAACATCTTTAGTGTCGGACAAACTTTTCATAAGTTGTCTAAACATTATAGTGTGACAGGGCCTTTTCACAATAAAATGTAAATATTTGTAAATACATTTCTCAAGACTCCTGTTGTCGCCACAAAAGTCCTGCTCCCACTGTGGCTTTTATTTAATGGACTCTTACTGGTCTAAAGGAATGTGTTGATGTGTCATCTCTTATTTAGAAACCACCTGCCCCAGAGCAGGATAAGTTGTAGCATAAAGAAAACCAGATAAATATTCAACTAGGTCGGTGACACTGAAAGTCCYAGTTTGTACCTGAAGCTTTGCTGATCCTGCGTTGTGGTACAGGGTACTTACATTGTTGTGCTTTTTTTAAACTTCTGTTTTTGTGCTTTAGCTGGACACGAGCTTGTTGTCGGACTTTCTGCCCGAACTCACCAGGATGGCTCGCAAGTTCGCCCACATCTCCACCCTGATGCAGTACCTTCACCTCTCACTTACCTGCATGTGTGAAGCATGGGAGGACATCCTGCTGCAGATGGATCATCGTCTCACCAAGTTTGTTCAGGTCACTTGTTGTTTGTTTTCTAAAGGTTCTGCTGGGTTTTCCTAGCAGAAAAGCATCAGGGTACAGAGGTGGGCAACCAAAATCTCTCACTTGAGAGTTTAATACAAAGCAAACAAAACTGCAGCATGTCCATCARTTAAAAACTTTCTCTACAAATAAAATTTAGTTTCTTTGTTGTGTTCGTAAGAGTACGCCTAGAGAGAGAGAGATACGCTCAGAGGGCAGCTTCTCCTATTCTTTTTAATTTACCTTAGTTAAGGGATGAGGGATATTATGCAAAATAARCTTTTTTAGCTTTATATCWTGTTCTAATGTCATTCCCTCATCAAAAACATACCCAGAGTGTTGCTTTTATTCATGTTAGAGAAATACTTGAATCTCCTGTTGTAGCCATGCGGAGCTGCCTTGAATGCTTGCTGGTACAAAGCTCCTACCTGGAGCTCAGTCTGTAGCTGAGCTGCCGCCCCACAGAGCACCCCTACAACAACAGCAAAAGGTGGTCGCAGGTGACAAAAGAGGTTCTTAAAGAGAAAAGAGGCCAGTTTCATGGGGTTTAGAGTGGCTTTGCAAAGTCAAGTTTATTTTATATATACAGTATAGTATCTTTATATCAACTGAAGGGAACATAGTAGGGTTGGGCAATATTGGCAAAAAAATTAATCATGATTAATTGTGGTATTTAGCCGATAACGATTAATTAAGACGATTAATCCCCTGGAGTCCTGGGACACCCTTATTTCATAGTCACATGCCCAATTTAGTGGGAATGACTTGCTATTTGTAAAAAATTGTCCCAAACTGTGTGAAAATTATAGACTTAAGGCTATACATCATATTTTAAATTGTGTTGATAGATGAATAAATTACATAACTTTATTTTTAACGTTCGTCATATTTGAAGCGGAGAGGAGCAACGAGCAGACTGACCGGAGTAATCTCCAGTCAGTCTGCCTGGTGGTATTAATCGTGTTAATCGTCAAATGCCAAAAAGTAATCGATTAATGTTTTTCTGACGATTAATTGCACACGATACGATTATGCCCAACCCTAGTCTCCAGTCTCCATCAGAGACACCTGGACAGGTCTCCAGTTCACCAGAGACACCTGGACAGGTCTCCAGT